CACTTTTTTTTGCTACATTCATGTTCCTGGCCTCTTGCTGGAATTTTAACCCTGTTGTTTTTCTTCCCATGCAGTCACTTATATACTTTTCATGGCACAGAAACAGCCTCAAAATTACAGATAAGAACCTAGTACTGTATTTGTAACAGCTGAATGTGATAATACCACTGTAAACTAACCTGAATAATCAACACATTCTTAGATGAACACCTCTTCAATAGAGCATTGTCTTAATAACAGTAGAATATTTACCTGAGAGTTTATGATCTTACATTTTGCAGGGATACCAAACGTGGTTCCACCTGAGCGTGTATCACTGTCATCCAGAAACGGTACCCGTTCGTCCTTATCAGAGCGCACAAACCAACATGACAAGTTGGTGATGTCGGGGAGACGAGCGTGCACTGAGAGACGGCCAACAAGAGAATAACAACTTTCACACATCTTAAAACCAGCAGACAGACTTCATTCTCACAGTGCTGAGTCAGCATGTAGCCCTGTAAGCTGTCACTCTCTATCTCCGTCTTTCCTGTCTTCTCTGTGCTGCACTCCGCAGCTCGACCTAATGGGAAATGCCTGCAGCACACTGTGGCGTGATTCATACATCTACTTGAATGACTCACGACCACACTCTTTGTCCCAGAATCATTGTCCTTCCATTCCTCATCTGCCTCCTTGTGTGAAAAAGTTGCACAGTTCTGTCAGCGCTGCAGAGCCTCCAGAAGGCCATTATGTGTCAAATGTTCGGCAGTCTTCACATCTTTCTGAAACCTCCTTTGAGGATGTTGTACTGTAGCCTGCAGTACCATTTTGGTTGTTGTTGTGGTGGTTGATTTGTTTTATCTCTATTGTGCTTTGAACAGTGAAAAAGTTCCTTACCGTGTTGGAGATAATTGAAGCTTGGCCTTGATTTAAGGACACATCAAACACAGGATTATTTGTAGACTGCAATGTGTCTCAGCTGGAGGCACAAAAAACAAAGATTCCAGTTCTCAATCTATAAAAGCTGATAAAAATTTTACGCCTTTTATCCGAAAGAACCAAAGAAGCCTTTTGGTTCAAAAGTGAAACATCCTCAGCAATCTAATTCATTAATGTCTTGTGTCAGCGAGCCAGTCAATTTGACCCAATTTTTTTTTTGTGGGGGGTGTTGGGTACAAAAAAAAATAGAACTTTGGGGGTTGTATTGTACACAACAACCCTTTTTTGCGCACCCCCCCCAAAAAAAAAAAAATAGTTGGGTCAAATTGACCCAAAGTGGTAGTTGGTCTCTTTTTGTGTATTGTTTGTGTATTTTTAAAAAAGAACGTCTTTAATGTCATAAAAAAAAAAAAAAAAAATTGTGGGGCTGCCCCCACCACTCTGGAAAAATGTATATCAGAAATGTTGTGGTTTTTTAATGGTTTTTTTTTCCCTCTTTTCCCAATGCATTGAAATGGCCATCCATGCTATGCGGATTTTGGCAATTTGAGGGCCGCGAGACATTGCTGTAGGTCCTGTCCCTATCCCCATGCCACCATAGGCATTTAGAGAACATGCAAACTCCACACAGAAACTGCCCCAAATTTTTGCCACTGATCCAGAAATGTGTTTGACTGGCGATCAGTCGATGTTGTTCTCCAGCATGCGCGCTTGCGGACCCGACAAAGATCAAGTGGGATACAGAATAGATGGATGGATGTACTGTATTCTGTCACATGGTTATGATTCTCTGTGGATCAACAGCCCTGTATCGAGCTTCACTCTTCGCACTTCGGTTTTTATTTTATGACACTTGGAAACATTTTCACAATGGAAATGCACAACATTGCATATTTTGATGGATTGAACCTTATTGTGTGATCGAAACCTTTGAGTCAGTGAGTCAGAAGAAATAAAAAATAGAGTGGTCTTGTTTTGGCTTGTCCAGTAGAGGAAGCTTGGGATAACGTTTGATTTAAGTGGGAAAATCGAAAGGACGCCCTCATGAATGATGCATAACTTTTCTGAGCAATTTGATAATGCTGGTAAACACAGCAAGCAGAACAAATGGGAGATGAACTGGGATGGAGAGCGATAATAGGAGAGGAAGTAGGTGTGTTGCTCGATCTGTGAAAATAGAGTGATGGCTATGAGGGAGAGAAGGGAAGAGGGAAGAACCAAAACCCGGATGTTATCTGCGCAGCCCAGTTTTACAATTTAATGTCATCCTTTGGAATCTGTGATTAAATGCTATAGAAAGCAGCAACACTACATTGGTTTTATGATGTACATGATTATTGATGTATACTGTGACATGATATGATACATTTGCTTGGTTGGAAAAAACGTGATTATTTACAGTACTGTAAATGCCGAGGGATTGGTCGGTAACACTGGACTGTACAATATTTAGGTTTCCCTTGCTCTTGCTCTCTCTCAATAAATTGTATGTGTTTTAATGTGTTTGTGTCATTATTATTATTTTTAAAGACCTTCAAGCACAGTGCGGCACAGTGATCTACTGCTTAGTGCGTCGGCCTCGCAGTGCAGAGGTAGAGGGTTCGATTACAGTTCTGGCCTTCCTGTGTGGAATTTACATGTTCTCCCCGTGCCTACGTGGGTTTTCTCCGGGTACTCTGGTTTCCTCCCACATTCCAAAAACATGCATGTCATGTTGACTGGGCACACCAAAGTGTACCGAGCTATGATTTTGAGTATGAATGGTTGTTCGTTTCTGTGTGTCCTGCGATTGGCTGGCAACCAGTCCAGGGTGTCCCCCGCCTCCTGCCCGAAGAGAGCTGGGATAGGCTCCAGCACCCGCCGCGACCCTCATAAGGATAAGCTTAGAAAACGGATGGATGTATGGATGATCATGGGCAAAACTCAAGAAAAGCTGTTTCTGTACACGCATTGGCAAAAATGATGATCAATTCATCATATTTAGATACTTAGTTTGTGTGAAACTATGTTTTAATTTGTTCCTTTGTGTATTTAATCCATCTGCTTTAATGCAGTTTAGCACACTCTTGTGTCTAATTCTGAAATTGTCATTCTAATCTGAACGTCCACTGTGGTGCTCTTTTTATCCCTCTCGTGGTTAACGCTAAAATTTTTATCCGAATGCACTGGCTGGTTCCCTGTAAAGCAGCGGTGTCCAAAGTCGGTCCTCAAGGACTGCTGTCCTGCCTGTTTTCCAGCTCTCCCAGGAGCAACAGACCTGATTCAAATAATCAGGATCATTGTAATGCTGCTTCAGAGCTGGATGATGAATGAGCTGATCATCTAAATCAGGTGTGTTGCAGCCGGGAGAGCTGGAAAATAGGCAGGACAGTGGCCCTCCAGGACCGGAGCTGGACATCCCTGCTCTAAATGTTAAACTGATATCGCTCATTTTGAAAATGTAGTCTAAATCAAGTAGTGCTCTCCCTAGTGGTCAAATCTAATCTCAGGATGGTGAACTTTGGTGTTTGAATTTTTAGAATTGCAAATATTCATGCCAATTCTGAAGCCCTTTATCAAGCCAATTGTTAAGGAATTCAATTCATTTAACTTTGTACCTTTCATTCCTCCACTGGATATGTCACAGCCATTACATTATAAGTCCTCATTTCCACCCAACAGCTCCCTCCTCTTGCGTCATGTCACCACTCCACATGACAGTTCCCAAGAGTTGGTGTGTATGCTGTTTGCTTAAAAGGTCTTCTGTTTGCATATCTCCTTCCTGGTTTCATCAGGTGTGAGCAACGTTCAATCTTTTGTTCAGTGTTAGCCACAAATTTGCCACTGTGCACTCGCTACAAGACGTCTGCTCTCTGAATATCTGAAATGCAAAAGGCAGATGCAGCTCACTGAATGAGATGAGAAACATTCCAGAGCACTGTGAGATGGTGCCCAAATACATATTTCGTATTGAGATTATTCGTACAAAAGGAATCACAAATATAGGACCATTTCGAATATGAGGGAACTGTGACTGGATGAGCACAAAGATGACAAGAGCTTGAATATCACTGTTTTCTTTGTCCCTTGTCACTGGCTGGCAGGTGACATTCGTTTTTTGTTTTTTTTTCTCCTCACTGTCAGTAATACATTTCTATCTGTCAGTCTGCAGGACAGCAAAGCAAACACTTGGCGAAGGATACACTTCTAGATTTGTTTTCCACAAATTAAAAAAAAACAAGCCAAAAAAAAGGCAAATCCAGACATTTCATTTGGTCTCCTGCACAATCTCATGCCATTTAACACAAGATCTGGATTTTTTAAAATGTATACAATTTCCAAAATCACGTTATTAGATGGACTGAAAAGTTTTTTTGTGTGCTACATGGAATATGCAAAATGTGATTCTAATCGTACTGTCGATAAAGAGGAACGTATCTGCACCCTTATTCAGATCCACATTAAATATTCACCGTCTGTGGTAATTTACAGCACATGATACTAAAATTTGTTTTTGTTTTGTTTTTTTTCCTTAGGAGCAAGAAAATGTCATTTTTTCACTTTCCTTGTTGCATTACTTTTAAAAGGGTTTTAAATTCCAAGAAACGCAGATACTATGCAAAACTCACTCTGCTTCAGATTTGACCTTTACTGTGACATTCAATTCAGAGAAGATGCTCTTGAGAGAAAAAGCAACCACTTTTCAACTGAAGCGATCTTTCTATTTGTCTGTGTATTTCCAAAGTAGAATGTGATAAATGGATTGCGGAAGTGGAAAAATGGGTAAGATAGCCTTTCAACCTCAGGTAATGAACTTTCTAAATCTCCAACCTAATCTTCCCAAAGGCCAAGTTATCCGAAAGTAATTGAAATGTAAAAGCTTTGGATCCGCTCATTTATCTTGTTCCATTCTCTCATGCATGTGCACGGTATTGATTTAGCTGTGCTTTCTTGGCAGAATTTCTATGCATCTTTTATACTGTATTGCTTTCACTAATTTCCTGTCTCCACTTCTCTTTCATTTTCATAGTCACACACTGTCACCGTGTGCACCCACGCATAGCTAATGTTCGGCTTTTTTTCCACTCTACCCTTGCTAGACTTGGATCCGAAATATTTCTGGAAGTGGAACGTGTTTGAAGACTACCTTCTCTTCTGTTTCGGCCTCAGCGCCCTGTGTGCAATGGTCACCACGCTGCTGCTGGATTCTGCCGTGTTCGTAGAGATGCTGGGCTCCCTGGCTGTGATGTTTGAGGCCATGCTGGGCCTCCCTCAACTACTGCAGAACTTCCACAACCGCTCCACCAAAGGCATGAGGTATAGAAGCAATAGAAGTCAAATTACAGTCTCACGCCCTTTCTCCCTCAGTGGACACATTTAATTTCCATTCACATGAGCTAAGTATGCAAATCAGGTAATTTATAATAATAGGGGTTTGTTGAGAAAAAAAAACCCTTCCTGTGGCAAGGTTTTTGTGTTTTCTTTTTTTTTTTTTCTTTTACACCCAGAATCTGCATACAGTTAGCCCCTGGTATACCGAAACAGTTTATTACACAGCCAGCTCCTGCGGTGCCTTCAGCATGAAATCTATGGATACATCCTTCAAGTGACAGTCAGTCCTTGGGGCTGGCTCGTGTGTGTTTTCCAAAGCAAATCTTTTCTTGACATTGCAGCTTTACAACACTCCTAAACCCGGTTCTATTCTTGAAATACTCCGGTAACATTGACGCATATCACTACACTATATGGAAGTGTAGTTTCGTTTAGCAATTGGTTCGAGGTCTGTGGTGGAAGAGAATCTTGATGTGTGTGGTGCTCAGTGTTGAGATTAATCGGAACACACCTCACACAGTACGATTCATACTTAAACGACAGATTTTTTTTAAGAGGCTAAATTATTGACTCCTTAGGGGGGATGAAAAGACGGCATTGTATCCCAGAAATATGTGATGTTTGTAAGCCTCATCCTTGGTTAAGAGAGGTTTTTTTTTTCAACCTTAACATTGATGGCCTCTCTCGCTCCTCTTTCAAATCACCTGTCTTCTCTGTGCAGAATTTTTTTTAGTGCTGGTTTTATCTGAGGTGCAGAAAAATGGCTGAGTCTTGACCTGAAGCATTAACCTGTTTGTGAGTTGTTGTGACATGGGCTGGGTCAGTGGTTGCTTGGTTTCCCCAACAGATCCATCAATACATTCCTCAGTGCACTTGACAGCATATAATAAATTGTTCTCTGGTGTATGCACCCGTAAAATCTAAAACCATGACTAACTCTGTCCATGGTCCATCCCAGAACTTAAGCTAAAAAAAACCAAACAATGGCAACAACAAGAATGTCACCAGGAAAAAAGGCTCATTGAACACATCTCAGGGAGCACAACCACCCGTGACATCCATCTGAATTCTACTCCGGCATCATGCACTCTGGACCATCCGACCCTGAGTTGAGTTGAGTTGAGTTTCTGTTTTCCCCTATGAATAAAGTAATGCAAATGAAACTCCAGATCACCCTCATTCAACCCAGAAATATGATGGCAATATGATTTTCCATTCAAAAATTGTAAATACTTCTTCTGCCATAACCCTTGACTCAAAGAGGAACACTCCCTGGCCACCGACCTCCACCCCCTGAAACCAAAGCTGGCCTCTCTGAAATTCTCTCCAGCATGAAGTCATCCACCTGTCCGCTGGACCCCAAACGTTCCAGCCCTTGTCGAAGCCCGCCTCACTTCTCTTGCCCCACTCATCACTGACATCATCAACTCCACCCTTACCATGACTCTGACAATCCCCAAAAAGTCAGACAGGAAAACCCCCAAATTGATTCCTCACAAAAGTCTTGGGAAGAGCTGTTGCAAGAAAACTCAAGAAATACTTCCTCTCAAACATCTATGAACCATTCCCAATTGTGTTCTGACGTCACCGTCTTGCACTGAAGCAGCCCTCCCCAAAGTCACCATTAATCCCCCTACGATCCTCTGATTCCGGCTCTCTCGCCGTTCTTCTCCTTGAACTTAGTGCAGCTTTTGATTCTATCCATCACTCCATCCTCTTCAGTGACTGCAATTGGCATCACCTGGTTCACCTTACATTGTCCGACAGAATCCACTACATCTCCATCCGTAACAACACATTCTCCAGCACCCCTGCATCCCAAGGGTCCCTCAAGACTTCTCGGTTCTCTTCTCATCACCTATACGTTCTCCCGCCCACTTGGTCACATCATCCTTTACGATGGTTTAAAATTCCACTACCATGGTAACAATGTGGCTGTCAGTTTTCCACCAAAACCATCACCATTATCATTCTCTCTGTCCTTATCGACATAAAAACCTGGATGAACAGCAACCATCTGTGTCTGAACTTCATATAATCAGAAACCATCTCCTGCCCAACTTCCTCCTCCATTTCTGCCACAGCTTCTCACTCTGCATTGACGGTCACCCAGTCAGTGTTGTATACCACAAACTGCAATGATATTGTCCCATGGTGTCTTTATTTCACCAATCACCACACTGTGTGTGTGTGTGTTTGTCTGTTTTTTCTTTTTTTGGGGGGGCACGTGTGATGTAGTAAGTACATTCTTGATGCCAATTGGTGGTCATCAACGAAAGACACGCTGGTCTGGCATGAAATAATGATAAAAAGGCTGACTGGCAGACTAATGTGCCCACCTCTGGATCTATATGGTGTGGATGTGAGGAAGAAAAGGCGAGCATGGCCTTGGTTCCTGCTGCTTTTCCTCTTGAGAGCCTGTCCTTTTCACTGCAAACAAGAGGCAAAGATGACATCTCTTCAACACACATATGGCACGCTGTATGCTGGAGCTCAACTACTTTTCTGTTTCCATCTTTCTTACCGTCCATGCTGACATCATATTAGATATGTGTCCATGCAGATTTTTTTAAGCTTTCAACTTTTAATGCAAAGAAGCAACGTACTTAAAGCTGCTTTACTGTCAGTAATTTACTGCTCAGTGGCCCAAGGTTCTTTTTAGTCATTGTGCCCCATTTCACATACTGTCCTCAAGGGTTGCAGCTGTGCTTTTTAGAAGCATTATTTCAGCTCACTGACAGTCTTGCCAAAGATTAACTGCAATAATTCTACATGAGGGTACGGCCGATGAAAAGGCCGTTGTTGTATCATATCTATGGAGAATGTCAATGTGCTCAATATTGTGATAATGTACCATGAAGTATCCTACCGTTGCCATTTCTTTTTTCATTCATTTCAAGTGATGAAAATGTCATAATAATAAAACTTCAGCATGGAGGTATTTACGCAAAAAATGTCAGCATGCTAATTGTGATTCAGATTCAGTACTTCGATGAAAGAAACAGATCACTGCTTCCTCACCAGTTTAGTCTGGCTTGAAAAGTTGTACAGATGGAACAAGTCTGCACATCCGCTCATGCCATCCCATCTGAAACACTTTGTTTTCTGCTCTCATTCTCATGCTTTAATGGTTCAACATGAATCTCGGAAAATGTAACATTTCCCACATGCGTAAACAACTAACTTCTGACATGATATCCTTGAGGGCTGTTACCAATATTTTCTTACATCATTATTTCTCATTAATGTTTCATGTACCCCTGTGTTGCTTTAGGACAACGTCATGAAAGGAGCGCAGCAGCTACACGGGGAGAAAATGGGTTTTAGTGAACCAGGCAACTTATTTCTGCATTACAAAAATAGCCAAAATAATTCATACGGTATTATTACATCGCCATTGCACCCAAGAATAATAACATGTCTGGGATGCTCCCTATATGCAGATAACGCACACTGCGTCGGGCACCATCGTCTGTGGGGAAAATTGCGTGAGGGGGTGCACTGCGACATCGAGTGCACACGTCGTCCGGGAACGTTCTAACATGCACTTGACGTCGCTTTTATTTTGCTGTGATTACTTTTGTCTCTCAATTTAGAATAGATAATGTATACCATTGTCCACTTGCGTGTTAAGGGTGCTATATTTGTCACTTACTCGATGTTGCCTTACTTTGCTTTTGGTATTTTAGATGGGCCCTTTAGTTTGGACACGGCCCGCTGTTGTTGTTTCGCAAAGCCTACAAAGTGTTGTCGGCACAATGCATGAGGCTTGTGTTGCGTCAGTGTTTTGAATGCATCAGCCACAAAACATATCACGTAAAGATGATGGTGAAGAGAACTGTTACACCTCTGAATGATTTATTCCCTCAGTTTCACTCAAGTTGATTTGTTTTCTTCTGTCCTGGCTGCTCTGTTGCATCTCAGTCGCCCACCGCTCTTTTGTCCACACTAACATTCAAGGTTAATTCATTTGCTTTTGAGTGCTGAAACAAAACAAAACAAAGACAAGTAACGGCATTCATTGAAAAAAAAATGATGGGCATACATGAGAAATGTGGATTTTGTGTGGGTGCTATCCTTTTTTTTGCCCCCCTCTCATTCCAAATGTAATTTTCTCCTTATCTCTTCTACCCAAACTGCTGAGCAATGTCAGTTACACACGAGAGCTTTCAAGTTGCAAGAGCACAGACCAATTTGTGTGCAGTACAATTGAGTCTTTAATCAATCCCCTGGATTAAAATCACATAAATCCACACATTTTAGGATAAAGAATTATAGTCATTCTTGTGTGTGTGTGTGTGTGTGTGTGTGTGTGTGTGTGTGTGTGTGTGTGTGTGTGTGTGTTGTCCTTGACACACCTTCACAGCCAACGGCTGATTCCATTCTCTCCGTTGTGAGCAGAACTGAATGACAGTTTCATGTTTCTGTCGAGGTGGCCTTTACCTCACAGCCATTTTGGACAAGGGACCATTACCTTTCCAGTCAGACCCTGGAGGATATGGTGCAAACATGGTGATGACCTCAGATTGTTTGCTGACCTATGAACCAGCGTTATTCCCCAAAGGGGAGTCCTTACTGGGAGAGTGAAGGATGGACTGCCTTTGCATAAGTCGAATAGCAACCACAGGGTGCCTGTTTATTTATTTGGGGATGGCAACTCTACAGGAATTGAGTCTTTTTTTTTTTTTAATGTAGAAGGATGGAAGTCAAACTGTAGCAAAACGAAACCTCAAAAGAAAGTGCCGGTCTTTTACCCAGAATATTTGTCGGAATGTTGTGTTTTGAGCACGGAAAGTTGTCTAATCTATCGAATGAAAACTAAATGAGCAAGTAGATTTATTTACTTATTTTATTCATTCATCACTGACTTCTTTGCCTTGATCTCTTATAAATATGTTTTGATAACTATAACGGTGGGATCCCTGGCCACGCAGTGGTACAGTGCTTGACCTCAGCGCAGGCAACAGTTCCCACTTCGAGATAGT